GTCTTATAAGTAAGCATCTTTTTTTGGAACACATTTTGTTTTGTTCTACCATTGCACTACCCACTGTTAAAGCATACACCTCCTTTTATTTTAATTGTTGTGTTTAAATTTTACTTTGCTGAATTGCACCACAACGAGAGCTTGAAATCTGTCTTTTGCGTTTTTGGTTAACTGGCTTGTGAACAAGACATTTCGGTCCCGGTAGACCATTTTTGGCGCTTTATCGTCCGTAGGGTTCACTCATTCTCTAAAATTTAGTACCTGGCGTTTAACTTTGGGTAATAAGGCGGCTATGGAGCATAGTGCTTACCAAACTACCCCCTAGGATTCGTTATAAATAAGTGACCCTAGCACATCCGTAGAAATCCGTACAGTATTACGATGCTCATAAAAGTTCATATAAACATAGGTCCCGCAAACATTTCGTTGCTGATCTACAGGGTACCTATATTATAATTTTAGGATTTTTTAAAAGTTTTTCATTTTATCTTGGTACAAAACTGCACGGTATCTCGCGAAAACAAAAATGTTTTCTTTCTGAAATTTCCACTCTTAGGGCGTTGAGATATCCAAAGAGGTTCATATTCTCAAAAAGCAAAACTCATCCTTACACAGCCCCGAAACAATTCTACATACTACATAAATTGAGGCTATTTAGGCTAAGGCTGGTAAGTTGACCAAACGGCAGGCTTTGTGTGAACTTGCCAATTTTTCTTTAAGGATAACGCCCTAAAAATTAAGTTTGATAATGTTACCATTCGGAATAGCTACTAGCTTCATCCATCAGTATCGCGATACAGGAATCAAATAAAAAAATGTATAATTCGTTGCATTAAAATTCGCCTAGTTTGTGGATAAGCCGTTACTACTTTTGCAAAAGGTCGTTATCGCATGTTGAGGAAAGATGATCATCATAAACAGGCCCAGATGTCAAACTAAAAACCGTACACAATTTGATTTGTCAAAAGGACTATAATTGGCGCTTTGCTTACAATGAACTTGCGAATTTAATTTCCCCACATTTTACAAAATGTTTCTGTATCCTCGCATTTAGATATTTTCGTCGCTTTAATACTTATCATAAGTACAAAGCTAAAAGGTTATGCGTTGTGGCTTTGGGTCCTTTTATCTTTAAATTTAAGGCAGCCGGCCGTTTAAACATATTTAATGCGAAGGAAAATTGCTTATTTTATGTTTGAGTTTCCAACGGTTCCTGTTAGTATAAATTGCCTTCCACTCATAGCGCGATTGACTATTAAGGCTTAAAATATTTAACGCTTATTACGTCAAAACGATCTTTAAAAAGTTTAAACAATTTGCTCTTAAGTAATACCTAATTATTTGGAAAATAAATATTGTTGCAATCTGAATACAAATAGTACGTATGCTCATCACAGTGAAAAATTGAATTCGAGAAAATATAATAAAAGCGACTTACACATTACGCCAGCTCTATCTGCATAGGCACAAGGGCTGTTTGTGTTTTGGTGGTAGCAAAAAAACAATCCTCACTAATCACTACTCAAATTTTTCGCGAATAAGAGCAAACGACGTACATTTGGCGAATTGCAAAAGAGAATGACTAACTGCTTTTTGGGGAAATTGCAGGCTTTGAACATGAAAGGTCGTCATACCGGTATTTGAACGCGTCAATTTGTTGATAACCAATACAATCTACATACGCAAATAGGCGTAGATATCCTTTCGCTAAAAGGAATTTACGAACTATTTTATAATCGTTACTCTTATTTATCACACAATTGTTGGCCGTAGTAGCAATTGTGATTTTTGAATCTGCTACTGTTTTTCCCTAAGGTTTTCCTTTTATTATAGTATTATACTTGTGCACATTTTCCAATCCAAATTCTACGTAAATATTTATCGTAACATTCAATTAGGTGTTGTAGTTCCGACTTTGCATATAATCTTAGATCATCGTATATACGGATCGCTAGAGGCCACATCTTATGAGGGCGAATATACCGGCGGCGACGAGGAGTGAATTTACATGGGAGCGAGAGCGAGTTTTAATGGAAGAAAATTTTCAAAAATGAGTTTACGGGAGTGAGTTTTATCTAAAAAAAGGGAAAAGTTTTTTTAATAATTAGGTGTAGGCTTATTGGACGCGAATTTTCCATCGAGCCAGTTTCGTGCAAAATGAATTTCCAACGTGGGTACCTTATTCGGAGAAGAAAGTTCGGGGAGAAAATATACCGAAGTGAATCTCAAGTTATGAATCTTCCAAAGACGAACTTTCCTGGCGCGTGCGAATCCTACAGGCGCTTATTTTCCGAGGATTTTCCGTACATGGTCCCTCCGTAACACTCTACGCAGGAATGGGAAATACTGTAACCCTCTGGACGTTTGACGTAACAGGATTGTAACATTTTTATTTTCTCAGGTACATTTAAACTCTCAGTTGCTATTCAATTGCATTCGGTTTTCTGCTGGGTGCATTTTTAAAAGCAACTTGGAATGCGCGTGCTAGTTTGCTGTTTTATTTCCTTTTATCTTCCTTGCGAGTACTTGTTGGTCGGCACGGTTTAAAAGTAGTTGTTCATCTCTAAAAATGTATTGACGGTGTAATTCCAAAAGTACCTATTATTATTACTTTATGGCGATTGAGCGGGTGTAATTCTCAATCGAGTCTAAACATTTATCTCTCATTGTTGAAGATTTAATTCTATTTTGATGAATTACGAATTTTCTATTTGTTTTACAGGAGTTTGAAACAGTTTATTTCCAAACAGTATTGAGTAGCATTTTTTATCACAAATACAACGATTGTACGGCACATAACAAAAACAAATGTTGGAAACAGTTGATTTCAACAAGATGGAGCGCCCGCGCACAAAGCTGATATCGTGCGAGAATACCTCTCGAACATTTTTACATTATCCAGGAAATTTGTCTCACAGATATTCGATGACGTACGCGGGTGCACTATCCTGTTGGAACCAACAATTTCCAACTTTTCCTTTTAATGTGCCGTACGTCAGAAAATTGAAATTGTATTTCAGATTGTACATTTTAATTTCAGAATATATCGATTGAATTTCAGTTCAGTCAATTTAATTTCAGAATGGCAGCAGAAATAAATTGCCGGATGTGATGAACTCCTGTTGCAGTATAAGAAAGCGTAGAAAGAAAGAAGTATAAACCACATAGCAATCAAGACCGGTAACGGATTGTCACATGCGCTAATAAAGGGGACGATTGGGTGAACTTGGTTACAACCTTCTTTATAAAACCAAAGAGTACTTGAAAGGCATTATATGTAGATGTGTCAAAAGATCAAATTGCAGGAGGTGATTCCGCTCAAGCTATTCAGCAAGGCACAACATTTCGGATATGTCGGTGTAGGACAATAATGTAACATGTTCCATTATGTTTGTTTTCCTTTTTGTTGTTAATAATGCCAAATTCTTCATTTTAACATAATTATTTTATATCAGAAAGTTTTGTTTCCATCCATTTATAGCATACATGCATACACAGAACGGTTTTGATAGAATGAATGCCTAAAACACAATATGCCCTTTATAACATAATATTATAAATCACAGAAACATAATGAACGATTCAAGTAACAAAATCAATATATTCGCGACATATGCCTCTATATCAAATACCAGGGTCATTATGAATTTGAATTAATATTTCCTGAAATAAAAATGATTCTCTCTGAAATGCAATTCATGTTTTCTGAAATTTACTACTGAAATACAAATTTGGATTGAATTTAAATTGCCAGAAATAAGTACATTTGTGCGTTCTAAATTCAAATTGACTAAACTGAAATACAATATATGATATGATATAGGCAATTTATATCTTCTGAAATTACAATGTATATAGTTTGAAATCAATGTGATACTTTTTGAATTAAAGTTGGAAAAGGTGTAGAGAATGTAAGCTATTATATGGCAAAAATACGAAGCGAATAAATGATTTTTAGTTGTATTGTACTAGAACGAGAATATAAGCGCTCTTACTATATGTGTGGCCACAAAAAAGTTCTATTTTTGCTTTGTGATGACTACCTAAAACATTAATTCCGTTGTTTACTAAAAATTATCTATTGATTACTATTGAGAGCAAATATTTCACCTTTACGATATTAGAATTTAGATGTATTCAACAAAATTCAGGATCGGGTACACATTGTCCAAAGCTCCAACTGTAGTACAGCATTTATTTTTTTATTTTTTTTTGAAATTTTATTACTTATCCCTCTCTTGTTTTTTTGGGCCCTCAACAGGCATGCGCCCAATTACAGAGTGACCCGCATAATGCTATTTAGAGGTGCCTCTGCAGAAGGTCTTAAGTTGGTCTATACTACTCCGGTATTTACCTTACGAATTAGGAAAACTGCAGGAAAACCTAATTCGGAGTAGCCGGTAGAATGCTCGGAACTGGTCTAAGGTAATTTCCATCTCCGCCACAGATGAAAAATTCACCTCAACCCAGGTTCGAACACCCGGCCTCCGGATTTATAACCCAATGCTCTACCACTGAGCCATAAATCCTTTATTTACTATACGAGTATATTGTTTGAATAAATCCGATGCCAGTATTTCTTTAATGTGTAAGCGCTGTGCTACATTTGGGGTTTTTAGAAAGGATATAAACCAAAATCTGGTCCTTGATGCAAAGGATCTGGCCCTTATAAGGTAAATCTAGAAAAGCTTAAATTTCTGCTCATTCTAGAGAAGTATGTAAATGTAATTTATCTAAAAATACACTCTGTCTGATAATTAGGTTTTACACACAGGTCGCGGCCCTCTTATGTCACAGCACTTCAATCCGAAACCTTTTGGTTCACTTTACGGACACTTTATTTTACATAGCACTAATTTTTCTGTTTTACGTAATCATAATCCGTTTTAGCACACATCTCTAGATAAGTTACATTTGATGGTATCAGTGAGTGGGGTGAAATGAACAGAAATTTGAGCGGAATAGGTACCTATCTTACTTTCACTGTTACGGATACGTACATAATATCTCCAAGTTTAAGTCTTGTCTGTATAAGGGCACATGATTTGTGGTCGGAGGTGGTGACGGCGCGACGTCTTCTCGCATATCGGTTGCTCTGTGGTAACGGCATTTCATCTGATACGCGTACCATAGGTGATGATCCTCGACGCCGTGTTGACATATGCCGTCCTGCCATCCCACCCAACATCCTGAAAAAAGGAGACATTTTAATATCGATTTAAGTATCAAGTATCAATTAAATGTCCAAAATGAAAGTAGGTATACTAAATAAACCCCTAAAGAGCATCTAAAGAAGCGGCAGAGCACCTCGGTGTGACCCTACGGGGTAATTGGATTTGGCCCATTTTCAATAGGCTTATTACTTGTGGCATAAAGGTCAACTGTGCAAAGTTTGAACCAAATCGGTCCAAGCGTTTGGCAGTTATCGTGGTCACGGACGGACAAGCGGACAGACGGACACCATCGACTCCCCTATAAAGCTTACATGTACGCTTTGCTCTGCCGCATTAATAATAAATGTACTTTTTGATTGACACATTATGAAAATAGTACATCCTTAAAACGAATTTTCTCAGGTATGATTGTATCACATTTAAAACAAATTTAAAAAATCCCTTTCAAAGAAAGTAGAACAGACAAACTTTTTACTGGGGGTGCTTATAATTCAGAAGAGGTGAGATGGATTAATTAAATTAGTTAATAAATGATAGGAAGGATATCATTACAAAAATGCGTATGATAACCTCTTTAAAAAAAACGGCAACAATGCTACTCTATGAAGAATGAAATAGACGCATTACGGATTATATTTTTGAAAAAGATTAAAAAGTGTGTAACGGTAGCGGTAGACCGGTAGATTTGCATTTAAATTTCTTCTAAATTTCATTGTTAAATTTAGAGGGTCAAATTTATTTTCAAGTGGTTTTGATTACAATGTGAAGAATAAGTTGATCGATTGTAGTAGGACGGACGTAGACCTCTTTGTTTGCATGTTAGGAAACCCGTTATTTCTTACGGCAGCATGAGATCACTTTTTGACCATGGAAAGCTTAATCTGCTTCTTTTTTCTGTGCTTTAAGGATGAGGAAGATTCCAATTGGCACAATAAAAACATGGCAGATTTAGTACACGTGATGTCAAAAGAGGTGTTTGATGAGTACCAAACAGTAGGGGTTACTTTTGGAGAAGATTCGTATGGTAACTACCGGCGCGACCACTGTACAGTCCGATAACCAATCAAGGATTAGCATTTAAGCCGGATCCATTTTTGAAAAGTTAAAAAATTCGAATCTTGACCACGATATAGAAAATACTGTCGCGTAATTTCCGTAGTAACATTTTGTGTGTAAAACGTTGTAGTGCGGAATTTGAACCAAGTTCATTTTGTAAATATCCGCCGCCACCAGAATTCGTATATGGAACACAAATTTCAATCACGCTAGTTATATTGATTATTGTTTAAAGAAGAATCTTGAAAGCGAATAAAATTCTCACTTATCAACACAAAAGTACGGACTATCGCTAAAAATCCAAGATAACGTCCTTTTCGATGCATTATGAGCAAGGATGCTTTAATTAAAACGCGAAGATATTATAGTTATAATAAAGAACGATTATTTAATCTTCTGTCAAAACATTTCCTGCCGCGAAGTAAGAGAGTGTGTTGAATTTTTTTTGTAGTGATAAAAACATTTGAATTATAACAGTAGAATAGTATCAATAGAAACAGTAAAGTGCATTTGGTTACGTATTGAACCCTTATATCATCCATGAAATAAAACGACTAGTACAATCTTTAGAGCTTGGCGGATCTGTAATTAGATTTATATGGGCAAAAGCGCACATTGGACTAAAATACAATGAAAAAGCAGATCAACTTGCCCGACTAACGGCAGTAACAGAAACACCAGAAGCTACGAAGCTCTGGATAGGACACATAGGAAATTACTTTGTAAATTACAGAATTAGTTTATAATTTACAGTTGTAATTGGGAATTACACTAATTTACAGTTGTAACTGGGAATTATGCTAATTTACAGTTGTAACTGGGAATTAAACTAATTTACCGTTGGTTTCACTGGCCGAAAAAAAGTTTCTCCTATTCCGTATTAAAATAATAAATTGTTTCCCATGGTCGGTCAAATTAATTAATCGCAAATAATTAAATTAATTAAAAATTGTGGTTTGTTTGTATATTCCAAGAAGCACAAGGATATACCCGAAACCAATTACGTTTCGAACTTTTGAAATGATTCGCACTTTCGACAAAGAAGCTCTCCGCAAAAAAACCAGAATTCCATATACATCGTCCGTCAGTAGCATTTAGAGCTCATTATCCCTGAAGGAAGGCTGTATCCACCTAGTTCTGTATCAACATTGTTCCGTGCCGTAGATAAGGACGGGCCATCCTGTATGTGTATATGTTTTTTAAAATTCATATTAAGTCTGGAGAATCTTATTAAGAATAAGTACGGAATTGAGTTATTTCATCGGAATTTCTTTCTATTTGTCTAGATGTCCATTTTAGCATTGTAATGATTTTAGCTTTGTGTTTAATTGCTTAATTTGTTTTTTAAACTTTATCATTCATGTACATTTGTTGTTTAATTTATAAGATGTTAAGGTTGGTTATTTCGGATTTAGAACATTTGATAGAGTGTTATCTGCTCGGACGCGATAAGGACGTTGTTATTGCAAAAGTTGATTTTCGAGATCCACGTGTATCTGGCGTTAATAACTAAAGCAGGCCTTCCACGTGCATTCATTTCATCGAACTTTGAATTAACGCCATGTCGTCGAACTTGGAACAGAATGTTGAAACACCACTTCCACGTTCGCACATGGTTCGTACAAACTTGGCGAACAAATACACGTACGATTGTGCACGCGAAAACAACATTATGCGTTTTCGGTTCCTCATATACTACAATGTGTAAATCTATCTCACTTATGTCTTAACTCTAGGAGCGACAAGCACATCCATACGCGCGCCCAGCATCGCTCCGCGCCAAGAATTTGGATTGGCAAAACTCTTCGCTCCGCACCAAGAACGATGCAAACTTTGCGTGATGACCCCTTCCACGTTCGAACTTGGTCTGTTTGCAGGAGTGTACACTCCAAGTTCGATGAAATGAATGCACGTGGAAGGCCTGCTTCAGGCCACAGTTGCGGTGTTCTTTTGCGGGCAATTATGTTATAGAAGAGAGGACACTTCAACTGCTCCTGATTGGTGTTACATTTAATTTTACGGAGGGAGGATTGTGATGATCTAAGTGGTGTTCTGTATAAATAGGCAAAATAATGCTGACTCCCGATACCGCTGTTCAAGTCACGACGAGTTAAAGAGCGTGGAATTAAGTTATTCAATTTTTTAAGTATTATTTTTGTTGATGAAGGACTCCATTTTTGTTTGAGTGATTATTAATATATGATGAAAATGAATTGAGACTCAAATTTTTTTTATTTTCTAACGCTATCGATTTCGACGAGAATGTCATCTTCATTCCGAGCTTTACATGAAAACGTGTATAAAACAAATATCTAGTTACAGTTAACGGTAATCGATAGCCGTTAGAAAATAAAAAATTTTTGAGTCTCAATTCATTTTCATCATATATTTTTAAGTATTATACTTAGTACCGAAAAAATCACGTTTGTCCATAATTAAATTTAAATTCAGAAATGGAAATTGAGCTTCCTAGTCACAGTGTGACGGTGACGTTTACCGTGGACGTTACGGAAGAAATTAGAAACCTAGTCTATGTAAGGTAGGGGGACGTATTTGTAGCCTGAGATTTGTGAAAGGAGATTGGTTTTGAGCCGTTGGTTATCAAGTTGACCTTCTGTAAGAAATTGACCAAAAGACTAACCCATACCAAAGAGCCTAGTTTTCCGTATGCATCGCGTATTTAACGACTCTTCCCTTCTTTCAACTTTTCGATACTGCTTCTTTAACATTTTGTTAACTTCAGCCAATCAAATCCACTAGAAAAGACGGTCCACTCCCCTTCTCGTCTAAGTTCAATAAGCGCCATCGATAAACTAAGACATGTGTTACTGATTAATGATTATCTTCAAACTAATTAGCCTCAAGGAACGATAACGAACTCCTTTTCGCAAGACCGGATTTAAAATGAGGTAAACCTATAAAAAACCACAAGTTTGTGGAAAAAGAAAGAAAGAAAAGAGGAACAGCTTGTGTTACAAAATAGAAGAAATCGAAGGGGATAACGTGGTTGGCGGTGGACGGTTTTCAATAGACTCCTAAAAATCAGTGCTTATGGAAGTATAATTTCAGGATGAAAAATTCCTATTTAGCATTTTACGAAATTCACAAGATGAAAGCTTTTATTATGTGTTTACTATTTTCTCAATCGAATAAATTGTACGAGCTTTTGTGAAGAACTTTATTTGAAAATGGAAATATTTAAACTAAGGCAAAATTAAAATCGACGTATAGAGAATTTCCTTGCTGTGGGAACATATTGTCACAAAAACTTCTACAGCGTGAAAGAAAACTTTCTTTGCGTGCATTTGAGCGAAAATATTCTATCCAATTTATTTAATACGCCAATGATATTCTCTAGACAGTACCGCAGTTTTCTGCGCTTGTAATTTAGAAACTTTTCCTACTTCTATTATACAACGCATGCGATGGTATTGCAGTTCAATAAATCAACTCTGAAGTAATTACATTTCGTAGTACAAATTTAAAGTGCCTACTTTAAGAAATTATCCATCATCTCTTTTCAATACTACATTATAGATACAAAAGATTCTCTCTGAAAGAGGAAATTTTGTGCACGGAAAATGCCTAGTTCTGGCTGAAGGCAGTTGCATAGGCACAAGTGAATTGGGAGCAAGGGTAACTAACTAACCGGGTTATTATTGTTTGGTTTTTTTTAGGCAACATTAGCAGTGTTAATGGAAATTGCATTGAACCACCGTAAATGTTAATATCCTTGACACCCTCCACCATAATCTTATTCACAATAGAAATCGAATCTATCAATAAATCCTTCAATTTCCTAGACTCTGTTTACTGTTTATGTATTATGATTTTAAAGAGTTTGTTGCATTTTTTCAAGTGTTCCTCTTGAGCAGGGCTGTGCAAAGCTCCTTATATAAGAATTTTACTACAAAGCCCTGAAGCCTTTGCAAAAGGAATTACGGATGGCAAGCTCAAA